AAAGGATAATGACGCAAAAACAGTTAGTAACCTTTGTAGCTTTCAACTGCCAACGTTTTCGTTGCGAATATCCTTTCTTCATCATTTCAAACAATATTTTGCATCTTTTGGCCTCTTTTATCTAATTTTTTCATCTTTCCTGGATTTTGGCTTTTTGAAAGAATTGGACTTAATGTTATATTTGATATTTTATCAAAGTATTACGGAGTTCATGTTACATTTGATATTTTACCGAAGTATTACGGAGTTCATGTTACATGTGATGAAGCAAATTTCAGATCTCATTCGGAGCGTTCGTTACGAGAAATAGCAAGCCATGAAGTGGGACCGCAGAGTAATTTGTCGGCCTCGGTGCCATCCACGCCGGCAGAGCCCGTTATGATGGAAACGGATTCGCCTGAAAGAAGTATGTTTTTCAAACTTGCAAAGATTCCACTATGACCGTTGGATACTTCGATCACTATCTCTTCGGGAGTATTTTGATTAGCCATTTTGAGAGAAATGCGATGGGAAGGCTCGAAGCTTCTATGCTGACACTTTAAGGACATCGATGATGCTTTGAGATTTGCCCTTTCGGCAGCGTTTTGTTGAATATTAAATGATTATATTAATTGTACTACGGGTCTCTCAACAATGTGTTCACATATAAGTTTCTCGTCGTCGTGATTCTATTTTTTGTGCGTTTTGTGCTGTGTAACAGCAGTATAAAACTCATATTGTCACGGCGTTGTCTGTGTGTGTTTGTGTGTGTGTGTCCGCAGCAACTTGTTCGTAACTTTCAACTCGGAAAACACAGAAGCTAGGGAGCTGAAAATTTAGAGGAACGTTCCTTACCCACGTGCGACCCCGTAAATTTAAATTCAACCCCCCGTACCCACTGATAACACGTACGACCCCGCAAAAGTTTGGGTTGGTAAAATTATTATCGCCAGAACCACGGAAGCTAGAAGGCTCAAATTTTGTGGGCATGTCCCTCACCCATGTGCTACCCAGAAAATTTAAATTCAGCTTTCCTCTGCCCGCGGGTAACATGTACGACCCCGTGAAAATTTTTAACGGGTAAATCATTATCTCGGGAACCGCGGAGTCTAAGAAGCTGGAATTTTAGGGTAATGACCTCTTGTCCACGCACGACCTTACAAATTCAAGTTCAGCGTTCCCGCATTCTCGGGTATCACTTACGGCCTTGTGAAAATTTTGGCAGGTGAACTATTGTCTCGGGAATCACTGGAGGATATTCACCCTTCAAGGTTTCAAATTCAACTTTCGTATGCCGGTGCGTGGAATTTTGAACTATTTCCCAACATTTCAACTATTTTTGCACAGACTAAAATATAAAACAACGAAAATCATTAATGTGCAGTCTTTCGGTGGGCGGAGTTGCATAAAGCGCATAATTGCACCCGTTGGTTTGGTGCGCGTTGCTATTTATTTTACATATTATTGTATAGTCTGCTTTAGATGTAGTTGAAAAAATGGAAACGGATACCGATCTTCTGGAGGGCCTGGAAAGAACGGCTGTGGAGAGGAGTGGAGTAGTTGATGGAACACTTGTATCGCTTATAGCAGCAACCCTTACGTCTATCCCAGAAGTTGTGCTTAAAATCAAAGAGATATTTACGCATCCGGAAAAGCAACATACAGAAAATCGGTGAGTTTTTTTTTTGAAAAACGATTAGGACATATGCCGTTCAGGATCTTAGTGTAGACATAAGAAATTTTTTACTTTTCGAAACAGTCTGTTAGATATGTCCATCCATTTGTTGCTTGAATCTCGGTAAAAACCCCCTCAGTTGCTGGATGCAAAAAAGTGGTCTGAGCACTAGTTGGTAATTTTTTTATTTTTTTTTCCCTTTTTAACGAGTCAGTTTGCTATTTTTTTAAAAAATTTTCAGCTTACATTCACTTTTTTCAACATCAATTTGGGAAATGATGAAGGATTGCATGGTGCAAAACGCAACGGCAAGTTTTTCAGATTGAAATTTAACTTTGAGATAGAAGAGATGAAGC